ATCTTCTTGGATCTTCCTTTTTTAAGTATTGTTTTTAATTCTGGATGTATTATGTGTTTTAGATATATTTATAGTTTTAATGCTTTTTGTAAGTCGCCCAGAGTCCGCTATTGTGGGGGAGATGGGCGGGGGAGAAACCCAACAAATAAATAAATAAATAAAACTATTCTAGACATCTGTTGCATAAAGTCACTCAGATTTGCTTGGAATTGGATTCTGCTGTTCAGTTCCTATGAAAGCGACTTGAGGCATGGACTTGCTTGGTTATATGGGAAGGGTTTGAACCTGTTAGTCCTGATGAAGTGGACAGGGCCTTTGGGGTTGTGAGTTTGACTGGTGTTATATCCATGTCTCTCTTGGCTGGTCAAGTCCTCTGGGGAGACCCGTGTGGTGATGCATGCTTCTTTGATGGAGAGGGTGCTTCCACTGGCTCTGAAAGAGGTATATTCTGATATCTCTTCAAGAAGCCATCACTGGATTGTTGAGAAGATGGTTGGCTTGCAGCTCCAGAGGGGATCAGCGGAAACAGATTATCTGTTATCCTTTTCAGACTGGTTATAGTACTGAGATGGCATTGGTCACACATGTGGATGATCTTTGGTGGGAGCAGGATGAGGGTAATGCATCCATCCTGGTCCACCTGGATATCTCAGCAGCTTTTGATACCATCAATCATGGTTTTGTTATAGACTGAGTAAGTGGGTTGGGAGTGAGCAGCACTGTTTTGTGGTGATTCTTCTCCTTTCTTCAAGGCTGGTTTCAGTTGGTATCGGGGGCAGAGGTCTAGCCCAAGGCTCCTGCATTATGGGATGCCTAGGACTCTATTCTCTATCCATTCTTTTTCAAAATCTACGTGAAGCCATTGGGTGAGATAATCCATCAGCACAGGGTGAGGTATAATCAGTATGCGGACAGTCCGCAGTTATACATCTCTGCCCTGGGCTGACTAAGCATAATACCAAAGTTCTTTGCCAGTGTCTGAAGGCTGTGAGGGTCTGGATGGGGAAGACAGGTTGTGACTTAACCCTGGCAAGACTGAATGGCATCTTTATTTTGGAATGGGATAGCACTCCCCAGGACAGAGTTAGAGCTCAATTTGGGAGTTTTTGTGGACTCATGGCTCCTGCTTGAAGAGCAGGTGACAGCCACAGCTAGGAGGACCTTTGCAGAAATCCAACTGGTGCACCAATTAAGCCTATTCCTGATTGGAAGGCACTGTTCACAGTCACTCATGTCTTAGTCACCTCCTGGTAGGACTATTGAAATGCACTCCAAATGGAACTCTCTTTGACAAGCATTTGGACATTGCAGTTAGTCCAGAATATAGTGGCACAGGATGTTTTGGGCTCACCACTGTACTCCATTGTAAAACTTTTTCGCAGTGTAATCCTTCTCAGACAGGATTATTGTAATATGCTGTTTCTGTGGTGGCCCCATGTGATGGTTCTTGCAGCTGGCCCAGAATGTGGCAGTTCCAGTGGTGATTGATGTCTTTTGAAAGTCCTATGTTAACCTCCATGTTGAAATAGCTTTATTGGCTGTCCATTGCTTTCCAAGACAACCTAAAGGTACTCAAGGTGCTAACAATGGTGTTAAAGCCTTAATTACTTGTAGGACTATTTACTTTCATACAATCTCCTCTGCACTCTTAGATCATAAATGGCGCTCCTGCTGAAAGTCCTATCATGGATCCAACTCATATCAGTGCTGTTTTCTCTACAGTGGGGCACATGGTATGGATCAAGCTGTCTCTGAAGCAAGCCCCTTCCTTACTGCAGTTTAGGAGGGAGTCAAATCATACATATTACCCAGGCTTTTAAACTAACTTATTGTATTAATGTTAAATTGTTAGTTTTATATTTCTTTTTATAAATAATGTTTTTATTATATGATTGGAAACTGTTCAGAGTACTAAGGAAGTGAATGGCATGTAATTTTTTGGAAGTTTCCTTTATTGGTAAAAATGGTATATATTTCAAAGGGAACCAGAAACATCTTATTGATAATTTCTAACAGGAAATTTTGATACTCCTTATGGTTATCAAAAAAAGGTAAATGCAAACTATGAGCTTACAGAAATAATCATTTTAATCAGAAATCATTTGCATTTCCATTTTCCATCTGTAAAGAATTATTATCGTAAGTGGTTGGTAAATCTCCAAAACAAGTACTGTGACATGAACATTTGTTTTTACCAAGGTCAAATCATGTACTATCTAATCATTTCTAAGGAATAGTGGCACTATAGTAATACAAATTAATCATAATTAATCACTGCTAGTAAGCATGATCTTAATGATCCAGGAACGGTATATGTTGAATAAGAGCAGAATCAACCAGCTGTCAGTCTGTAAATGAACTGTCTGTATAGAAACAAAAAATTATTATTATCTCTTTTGCTCACCACTTTCTTATCCACTTATTTTTATCTTCTATTATATTTTGCACATTTATTTATTATGTATATTAATTGTATCCCACTGCTAAAACACCAGAATTTATCCTAATTGCACAAATCATCAACACATTTAGGTTCACAGAAATTCAATGGGGAGGATTCAAATGCTCTTATGATAAGAAATACTGAAACAATTCCCAAAGTGCTTATTTGTATTCTTGAAATATTATCCAAGCTGAGAATATTCAGGTAACTATAACTTCATTAAATATCCCTAAGGAAACATCTATTGTCCCAAATAATCTCTTAATAATTGTGTAAAATGTACTTTGGATTTGAGAAGTTGTTGACATTATAAATACTCTAGTTAAACACCAATATGATTTAGCTTTGGACTAAATGAGGAATGTCATAATATTATTGATCCAGACCAGATGCCTTCATATTATTTCATAGTGTAATCCTGCATATGATAATTCCAGAGTAGACCCTACTGAGTTTAATAAGACTTATTCAAAAGTTAGTACTATTGAATTGCAGTCTAAGATAGCTTTCTGTTTTCCTAATTCTTAATGTGATTATACAAGTAGGTTTAAAACTCATATTCTTTTTTACTTTAAACTTTGTTAAACTATATGAAAAGAGAGGGAAAACAACAAAGTTGGTTTTTCTCCATTAGTTGCCTAAATGGCTAAATCAAGATTAGTTCTTTGCTATATTTGCCTCTTGTTTGTGAGAGAATTCTGCAGTCTTCACAAATCAATTATCTTCAAAGCTCCAAAATGAAAAGGAATGAACAGGGGCAGTCTCAAGAGCATCCTTTGCGTTCTGGAGTTAACATTAGTTAAGTACTTTAAATGATCACTAATTAGAGCCTTCAGCAGGCACTTTAAGGACCACCCGTCTAAAACATCTGATTGTGAAAATAACTTATTGGGTGAAATAGGCCAAATTAACTCTTTGATATGGAGTACTTGAATCCACATTTTTCTTTTTGCCTATGAGAATCTCTACAGCTATGAGGCCTTTTTAAAATCATTAATTACTGTTGTATTCTTTTGTGATATTCAAGGCAAGCAGGACTCTTAAAACAACATATTATTGAACCACATTTGTCTTTAGAGTTTAGAAAAATGCATGCATATTATTTGTTCTGTCAGGGTACATTTGTCCAAACATAGGGGGTATGTGTTTTTTTAGACAATATGTTCATTTTTCTTTTATAAATTATTTTGATTTTTCATCTCTTCACAGCCAACATTTTAATTGCAATCCAAGGCAATAGATTTTTTCCCATTCACTGGGTTCATTTAAAGAACTAGACATATTCTCTCCCTACACTTGTGTTAGGTACAAAGATGGTGATAAACATAGAGCTCCATAGAGCCCCTTCTTCTCCACTGCCTTCCCAGTTGGTCCCTGGTCATAGACGTACCCCAGTACACTGGTTATTTTCAGTGGGAGATTCAGGTTTACTCTCCATATACATATACATCATGCCCTGGGTCAGAAATCATGAGGGTTTAAGGCTTTGGAGGAGACAGGAATGGCCAAATGCATATAATGGAGGTATTCATTGTTAAAAGTAATAACAAAGCACGGCCAGAACAGGAAGTTGAAAAGAGGCTCCACTAAACAATACATTGAGCGTGTCTTCCTAGTTTGAAAGTTGTATATCTGATGATATTCTCAAAAGAATGGCCTCAATCTTACTATACTTCAATAATATATTGACAAATTATCAATAAATGTGCATTCAGCTTCAAAAATCAAAATGATAGTGTAAAACAGCCTGTCTAAAACTAGTCAAACACATTTCTTTTCCCTATGGCATTTTGATGATCATATGTCTTCTCTACTGTCTTGGCTGCTGATATTACACCATCATAAAGCAGCAGATGAATGCTTACTAAATGTATCAACCTGGAGAAAATCCTAATTGTCATCACACTGTAACTAAATATGCCAAGCGGTTTAAATAATTATAATTCATTAACAGTTTGTAAACTTTTTAATTGTCATTTTAAAGGAGTAGAGAGAAACATTAAGCAATCAAAAAAGATTGAGCATAAATATTTAATGTAATCTAATTCTATAAAATACAATAGGAAAAAAGGGAAAACAAAAATACTTGTGTTGAATTACTAATATACCATGCAATATTAGAATCTACTGTTTTCATAGATTTAAATATCCAGGTCCAGATGCCTATCTAATAATAATCATATGCTAAATCATATGGCTGAACCAACCCCCCTGGGGCTAACACCTGAGTTAAAACACTTAAGTCTACACTGTACTCTATGGCTTTCTGCAGGGTGCCATTTTTAGCAGAACAATTTTAACACGGCAAGTGTTTCTACCAGAAATATGCCCTTGATTTTTTTCTAGTGCAGTAAAAGCTAGTCATGGTAACATTCCATGTCAGTAAATGTCAGAGATGAACATTATTGTGCATGGAAAATATCATGGGGGATCATTGCAGCCATATTAAGAATGTGAGTTTACAGCACATAGTCATGAAATGATCAGTGCCATATATTTGACAAAAACATGTATTTCCAAGCTTGTGTATTTTCCAGTGCATTGTGCTATTCATAAAATGACTCTTCAGTGAGTGTGAGAGAGTTATGCATACAGATGAATACATACATACATACATACATGTTTTTCAGCAGGAGTGCTAAGGTAACATTTCATCAAGGGAGTACATTTTGGATCCTTTACATGTGCTTTCCTTAAAAGCTTGGCTCTTCCATTTTGTGGAACTAGAATGCCAATCGTCATTGACTGTTGCCTATGATGGTAATAGAAGTTATTGTCTAAAACAGTGAGGGATTCAGAGTGATCAAGGAATAGTTTCTTTGCACAGCTGAGTTCCATGTAGATCACACCAACAAACAATTCTTTAAAATGGCAAACCCAATATACAGAATATACAGAAAATTATTTTATATATGAAAAGTAAAATAGTTGATGTTGGTGGGGTTTGTCCTTAACAAGGATTTTTACAGCTTTTTTATTTATCACATATTATGATTTTCATGAAAGAGTTCAGGCACATAAAGTTAACTTTATGTCATAACAATTATGCAAGGTAAATTCATTTGAATGTATATAAAGCTATGTTCAAGCCCAACTAGAGAAATTCATAATTGAAAATTTTTTGAAAATTGACATATACTTTTCTCCTGTGATTGTAGTTGGTTGCCAGAAATTGAATCCTGGATCTTATACATGGAAAACAGGTAATCTAATACATACATATACACAAAAAAACAGAGCTTACCTTTTCTAGATGGATTTCAGTGCACAGTGAGGGTTTATGATATAAGTAGAATCTGTGTCACTTGTTAGTAAAGGATTAACACCTTGATCTTAAGCATATTTACAACATACAGAAGACCAAATTCCTACTTAGGCAGCTGAAAATGTCTTGGGAAGGAAATCTCCTTATCTTTGCAAATGAACTTTTTGTACTTTGGACAGAAACAATGAAACCACAGTGTAATATTATTTTTCCCAGTAGGACAGAGAATCATTAACATTTATCTCAATTAAACATAGGGAAAATGAAAAAGAAAAGGAGAGAAAAGAAAAAACAACAATGGATCAATGATCAAGGTTGAATCTTGGAATGAATTCAGCTGAGATACTAAATCCACCAATGATTATTTACAATGGGATTAATTTCATTCATGTTGAGGAATACCTATTATGTTTCCGTGGTTTATGCTCAACCAGTCACCTAATTAGAAGGAATTTATTTTCTGCTAAGCTTGCAACTCCACCGAGTGCCAAAAATAGTTTTAATATTTTCTGTTTCTTTGAATCGTTATTGTCTGTAAGTCTCTTTCTCTCTCCCCCCTTCCTTTGTCAAAGGAAGGCTTTATTAATGTCATTCTCTTAGCACCCATATTGCTTCCTGGCACTCTGGGTCAATGAAAGGGTTAACAATTTCTATCTCGATCTTGATCTTTGCTGAAATGGTGTGTATGGGAATGAAATGGTTGCCAATTTGTTTGTAATGCATTCTGACTGTACGGGAGTTCTTTTTTCTCCTGACAGGCAGGTGAGATCAAAGTGGGGCAGGACAAAGGGGGCTCAGCAGTGATTTGTCAGGGGACGAAAGGCAGTCTTGTCTGGGAAAGTGGCTGTAGCCCAGAACGAACCTTCAGATCAGTAACACACTAAAGAAACCATGGCATGAGAAAAAGTACAGCAGAAAAGGTTCAAAGGTCAGTTTTATTTGGTTTAGATGGTTGGTGCCTCCTTTTAAACCACAGACCAAGAGGGGAGAAGAACAGGCTAATAATCGTTGTTATTGTCCACGGGGGAGGGAAAAAAACCTCTTTTGTACACGCTGTTCAGAGGTTGTCTATAATTAAAATGCTGTTGTTCAACTAGAGGTCTCCTTCTCTAAATCTTTGTTCCTTTAAATAATTCTTGACCACAATATGGTCAATTCTTCAGTGGCATAGTTTATACAAGTCAGGGTTATTTTCAGCACTCAGATTTGCTGCTCGGTATGTGTGTGTTCCAAGCAGAAATCGCTACTCTTGGTTTATTGATGCTATTTGAGAAATAACATAGCTCTTTAGTAAATAAGCCTTTTTAATGAAATAACCTGGCAGAAGTTGGATGAACCTCACTAGGTACCTATGAAGACTCCTCATGAAATCTCTACACCAGCTTTTGAGTCCTGAGCAGCAGAAAACTAAATCAACGTGAAACCGATTGTCTCCATTGCTTATTCTTATCCTGCCCTTTTTTGCTTCTGTTCCTTGTCCCAGACAATAATCTGATTCCCTTCCAAGGCAAAAATGACAGATTCTAGATCCCTGAGGCTGTCCTCGGGGATAATACTATTTCCAGACTGGTTCAGCTAAGGATGGCAGAAGCCTATCTCGTTCATAGGCTGTGAATGACCATCATGGAGATGTAAGTGGCAGCAGAAAAAAAAGATGTTGCCAGAACATGTTTGTACCATGGTTAAATGATAGTGGGGAAAAGCCCTACATAAAGCTTTTGAGGTCATAATCAACAGTTTGACTGGGCCACAGAGCTAACAAGAAATGTGTTGAAGCTTCTGACCAAATTTTAAAATCCATCCAGGATGTGTTTTACCAGTCTAATTCGGAAATTACCGGTGCAAGGTCTGTGTCAGAGGGAAAAATCTCTGACAAACAGTGGAAATTAGTAGAAGTTGCTCTTAGCTCCTGCTCATCAATAAAGCTGACTCCAGGAGTGCCATCTCTTGCCATATCTCCAGAAGGATTTGACAATCCGGAGTAGCATAAAATGCCTTTGGTCTTATTTGTATGTCTTCACAATACAGCACCATCAGATTGCCAGCCTAGGCTTTCTGGCATGAAAGTAGTGTTTTCCCTCTTACTTGACCAATATTTCCTATGAGGACATTCTAGGGGACATGGAAGAGTCAGTGATCTGCTGGGCTTTAGTTGGCCCAGCAGGTCTAGTATGAGATTGCCCCTCCTGTCCCATCACTGTGGTCTGCAATTCCATGGTTATTTTGGCTGTGGCTATGAGAGAGACCAAATACCTCATAAAGTGCAGCCTATTTCTGCTTTTGGAAGGGGGGAATTCAGAGATGGGAATATCAGTCCCATGAGAAGGGAAGTTAGGAAATGGCTCTTTAGACAAGATACATGCAGAACAACTCACTCTTCCATGTCTTAGGCACTGCCTAAGCAGCAAGGGGGTTGACCAGTTCTGCCATGAAATGCTGGCTGTAAAGCCACTGGGGGGGCTGCTTCCCCTGCTTCTGCCTTGCTTCGCTTACCCCAGAGAAGGGGGAGTGATTTCTTCTCATCCTCCCTTCTGCTTCTCTTGCAACAAGCGGCAAGAGACGCAGAGGAGAGAGAAATGGGTGGAGGAGAGAAGTGGCAGAGAATAGCTTCTTTGGTGCCAGTTCTTGGATCTTATGGAGTGAGCAATCTGTGGGATAGAAAAACTGATAGCAGAGGACCCATGGGACTTCTGCTGCCAGTTACTGGCACCACAGGAGGCATTCTCAACCCAACTCCCCTCCTTCTCCTGGGTTCTCAGGGCAGACTGCACCCTTATTCCTAATAGACTGGCACACTTTTATCTTGATTCTCACATTGGATAGCAGCATTTTAGTGCTGCCATGCAGAAAAGCCCTTTGCACTGAGCTCAGCTCCTGGTGACTACATGGACATATTGATGCACTTTTCTTGGCAGCCATATGGAAATGGTTTGCTATTGCCAAGTTCTGGGATGTTTTTGGATTTCCCAGGCAGCTCATTAGAACCCTGGTATTCTTGATTAGTCTTCCAAGTACTAACCAAACTCAACCTTACTTAGTTTTCAACTCCAGAGACTACCAGATTCTGAGATAGTGCAGCATTTGGGGGTTTTTTTTTTTGCCTGTAATTATCTGAAAAGATGAGAATCAACTGAACAGAGCTCTGAGAAATCTATCTCTACTTTCACACAATATGGTAAGAGGAGAACTGTACAACTGGGTATCATCAGCATATTGATGATACCTGACTGCAACTGACCAATGACCTTACCCAGTGGTTTCATGTATATGTTAAACAGAAGGGAAGAGTGTAGAAACTTGCAGCTCCCCACAAGTGAGAGGTCACAGGGGCAATCTCTCCCTGCCTGTTGACACTGATGGAAACCGGCCACGGAGAAAAGAGAACCACCACCATAAGATGGTCCCTCCCACTCTCAGCCCTAAAAGCCCGTCCAAAAGGACACTGTGGTCAATGGCAACAAAAGCTGCTGAGAGTTCAAGGAGTACTAGAATGGATGCAGCACCCCCATCCGGATTCTGCCACAGTTCATCAGCAAGTGTGACCAATGCTGTTTCCATTTTTAAAGTCCAGCCTGAAACTCAACTGACACAAGTCCAGACTAACTATTTCCTCTGGGGTCCTCTGGAATTGAAGCCTGGCCATCCTCTCCACCACCTTCCTTAAACAGGAAATATGGAGACTGGATGGTAGTTGCCCAGGGCTGTTGTGTCCAGCACTAATTTCCTGAGTAGAGGGTGCACCAGGGCCACCTTCAAGACCAAGGGGCCTAGCCCCATGTCCAAAGGAATTGACACTCCCACATGGACCCAACCAGAGAACGTCTCCCAGGTGGCTTTAACCATCCAGAAGGGACTTAGATCTCACAAGCAGGTGGCTGAGTTAACAGGTTGGAGAACCCTGTCCACTTCCTTGTGAGTTACAGAATCAAACTTGCTCCAGATAGCCCCACCTCCCCCACACAAATATTCTGATAATTGTGCACAATATTCCCTAGGGCAGCGAATGTTTCAAAGATGCTTTAGAAGAAGTGTCTCAGCTCTGGACAGAGCACACCATATCTCTGCTATTCATACAAGCCTCATAGTGTTCAGACGCTGGCAAATGACTGATGGGTTATGTTGCAAAGTCCCTTCAACCAATTTATGTAGTTCCTAGGATGCAAAACTGCCCCGAGGAGGTGGGAGATGACAAAGGTCGCTCAGTGTGGTTATATCAAGTACCGCGCCGCTTTTAGGAAGCAGGTGAGCCCCACTCGGCAGGAAGGGAGTATTTAGAGGGCAGGGGCGCTCACTACGCTCCCGCAGGGGCAAAGAGAACACCCTTAGGCCGTGCCTTGTTCGCGCGCTTTCTTTTGCAGACACACGCCGAACCGATAGTGCGCGTTAACCAGCGGAGGGCGGACGCGGTTAAGCCTTTTTTCCCGCCTCCAGTTCTGAAAGCCGCGGAGGTATTGATGACTCTACGCGCTATTGCTTCCGCCTTGCGTCCCTTGTAAAATATTCGTGGAGAGGTTTGAGGGCGCGCGCTAGCGACGGGCCGCGTGTTCAGCTGCAGTTCACGAAACGACGAGGCCAGGAAAGTCCTTTGCCCACGTTCAGGGAAATCGGGAAACCGAGATCCTGGGGAGAAACAGACCTTTCGCCCACCCGAGCCCCACCAGCCCCACAGGGTGGAGAGGGCTTGTTCGCTTCGCGTCTCGATAGCCACGACGGAAAACCGCTGCCTCGGGTTCTTCCGTGCAGGCAGCCGGTGGGTTCACGTGTTTATTCTGTTGGAGGTGGGAGCCAGACTTGGCTGGGCATGATGGGGACTGCAGGGAGGGCCTCGGGGGTGAAAAGCAGAATTCAAGACCGCGCCAGGAAGCCGAAGCGGGTGCATTGAGGCGTTTTAATAAGCGCCACCCGGCCGCCAAGGCGGCACCATGCTCCCTCGCTTGGTTCTGGGCTGCGTTGCCTCCGGAGGAGCGCCACCAATGGACTCCAGGGGAGTTGCTCTCGTCCCTGGTCGTTTCCTTCCCCTCCTTAGGGA